GATGCCGTTGTATATATTTTAACAGTTCAAGCTTTCATCATATTTATAGGATATTATTATTTATTTAGGACTTTAATACTATCATATTACTATTATAAGTTATATTTTATCCTTATAAATACACAATTCAGCTCAGTGGCTGCAAGCTTTTTTACAAATAAACTATCTATCTATCTATCTATCTATCTATCTATCTATCTATCTATTGATTCGTTGGTGTAAGTTTCGGCACGTGTAGCCGACATAGCCTGCATCGCACAGGCCACGCATTGTTGACTCACAAAAGGCGGTTTGTCTTCCCTGACCCTAATTTTATTCTTGATCTTTTTACTTGTATAAACTGGGCTAATATCTACGTTGATCTTCCGACTGAGGTCAGCCAACTGTTTTCGTACTACATTTGCAGATTTCTGGTCCTTGTAGGGAAACACGATTCTGACTGGGGCTTCTCTTTTATCAGCCATTCGGGTGTGTGAATGCTCAGACAAAGTTTATAACTTTGTGATGAGGGCTCCGGCGTCGTCGTAATGGATCCATACTAAAAAGATCTCAAGACTTCTCACCGCCGATACGAACATTGATGAGCACATCAAGAACATATCTTCGTACAGGCTGTCCTTCTTCCAAAAGCTGGTCCTGTGTAGAGGGCTTAACTTTGCTCTACCACAACGAATATCATCAAGGGAAATCCATGCAACCTTTGAGAAAGCTTATTGGAAAGTAGAACCGAATCTCAATGTCAGCGGTTTAAAAGAATTAGCAGCAGCAACCCTGAGATCTATTGCGCTTAATTACAGCGAACGCAAAGGTCCATCACCACCAAAAGCAATGTTGAGAGCGATAAGTCAACTGAAGAAGAAAGATGACATTGTTATCACTAAGCCTGACAAGGGCTCCGGCGTCGTCGTAATGGATAAATCAGACTATGTACGTCTGTTGAAAGAATCATCGATTAATGACGAGACGAAATTCGCAACCGTAAGCCTTGAGAGACCAAGAACACGAGGTAGGCCTCCGAAGTTTTACCATCCATTGCTCCAAAAAGAGAAAGAGGTGTCCTCGGCTGTACAACGGATTCTACCTAAAAGCATCGCTGACTCAGCAAACCAAAGGGGTTCCAGACTCGCACATCTTTACGGTCTTCCGAAAACCCACAAGAAGAAGTTAGCCATGCGTCCGATTTTATCAGCTACAGGAACGTATAATTATAAACTTGCCAAGTGGCTGGACGAGATGCTGAATCCCCTGTCTGTCAACGAACATGTGGTTAGCGATATTTTTGTTTTTGCCGACGAACTTCGTGAAATGAAAATCAAGGACCGTGAAGTTTTGGTGTCCTATGATGTATCGTCACTGTTTACTAACGTTCCTGTGGATGAAACCATCGAGAGCATCACAGAGAGAGCCTTTGAAAACGACTGGTTCAACAGGGAATACGATCTTAACATCACGAAGTCAGATTTGATGGAGCTGGTAAGAATCGCCACCAAAACTCAGCTATTTCAGTTCGAAGGAAAGTTGTACGAACAAGTGGACGGTGTTGCTACGGGATCGCCACTGGGTCCCCTCATGGCAAACGCCTTCGTGTGTAGAATTGAGAAACAGCTAGAAAGAGAGAACAAGATGCCTATCTTCTACAAGCGCTTTGTAGATGATACACTTAGTGTAATGCCTGATCCGGAAGCAGCCTCAGAATTTCTGGAGACATTGAACAAATCTCATCCCTCTATTGATATCACAATGGACTCCAAGAAAATGGTAGGCTTCCCTTTCTCGGAATGGATGTTATCAGGAATGGTTGCCGCCTAGACACCATGGTCTACAGAAAACCGACGGACAAAGGGCTTTTGCTACACTATCACAGTCACGTTGACGCCAGATACAAACGGTCACTGCTGATCATCATGCTAAACCGTGCGTTTCAACTCTCATCTACGTGGAAGTTTTTTCATGAGGAATGTGAACGCCTTAAAGAGATCTTCTCCCGACTGCGCTATCCTGATGACCTTGTGCAGTCAACCATTCGCAGATTCGTTGAATCAAAAGTGTCTGAGGATTCACATACCCGAATGGCTGATAAAAGAGAAGCCCCAGTCAGAATCGCGTTTTCCTACAAGGTCCAGAAATCTGCAAATGTAGTACGAAAACAGTTGGCTGATCTCAATCGGAAGATCAACGTAGATATTAGCCCAGTTTATACAGGTAAAAAGATCAAGAATGAAATTAGGGTCAGGGAAGACAAACCGCCTCTTGTGAGTCAACAATGCGTGGTGTATTCATTTCAGTGTGGCCTGTGTGATGCAGGCTATGTCGGCTACACGTGCAGGCTATGTCGGCTACACGTGCAGGCTATGTCGGCTACACGTGCCGACACTTACACCAACGAATTGAAGAACACAAAGGATCGGCAATCGGACACCACCTCAGAGACGTCG